CTCGCTCGTGTAGCCGACACCCCCGACATGAGTCTGGCCACCTCAGCCCATGTCTGGTCATCGTCTAACCGCTGACTGATGATGGTCAGAGCTTGGCTGACTCGCTGTAAGGAGGGAGATTCTCAGAGTTTGCAGTCATCGCTGCGTTTGTATATTTGTGTTCCGTATCTCCAACTGGCACGATCCTCTGCAGAAGCTCACTCAGTGCAGGTTACTTCACCAAACCATAATCACTGGCGCCACCCAGACCATCATCATCAACTTCCAGCATCATCAAGATTCAGGCGAGAGATGTCTAGGGGCGCCGCCGTGGTCCGGATGGCCGTCAGTCGCCGCTCGGGCGTCCTCTGCGCCGGCGATACCGCATGATATCACGCTGGCGATCCAGCCATTCGTCATGTTCGAGCGCTCGTTACCGGCGGGGGCCTGCGCCGGCGGTCATTAGTATTATGGCGCACGTCCGCGGGCGCGCCAGTCAGCGCCGTCAGAAGCCGATCAGCGCCGCCGTCGCTGATGGCCGATGATCCGGCGCCGGACACGCTGCTGGCGGCTCACCGAGGTGACGACCACCTCCCTAACGACCCTCCGTCCGATCCGCCGACACCAGAGAGCAGGGGATGTCATCGGTCGGTGGTGTAATAGCTGCGGACGCTGGCAGCCGTCCCGAGACATTAGAGTTACATTTCTGTCCATTTAGTTGTCGTATTTCCACTTTGTTTCTTTCGATCCCGTTTCCGTTTCGTCCGGTTCATTTCCGTTGCCTCTCCATTCCCGTTCCATTTCCGTTCCGAGTCGCGTCGCGTTCCATCCCCCGTCGAGGCGTCCGCACGGCAGTGGTCGTGCCGACAGGTTTTCTGACCGTTTTTGTGCAGTCCGGGCCGGCTGTTCGGGCCTACCAAGTATCAGGAATGGATACCGCCGCCGAGACGGCGCTTTCTCAACTCTACTCCGACGGCGCCCGGTCACGGAGGGTTAGGCGGACGGCCGACATTCAGCCACGAGCCGTTCGTGCCGGTACAGGCGCCAGGTGGTTCAGCCGCCGACCACGAACGGTCCCTGGGACCACCGATGGCACGCCGGGAAACCCGCCGCGGTGTCATCACGCAAAGTCGGCCCTCCGGACACTGCCGGCACGCTCCAATTGGGTCTCCGAGTCCGGGGCGCAGTACGGGCCGTACACAGCCGTACAAGTGACAAGCAATCATCGCGACCGCAGTACGGGATGGGGTCGTGTTCGCTGTCCACTGGCCACTGTCGGCGGCTGGAGTCATCCGCTCTCCATTGTCCAAGGCTTGATAGCTGTCCTTTGTCAATGTCCACCACTAACATCAATCGGGAGTCACTGGAGTCGCCGCAGCAATATCGAGCATTTCTGACAGTTTTTTTTTTTCAATGCGGCAAAACACCACACAGAGGAGATTCGAGGAGGTTAACGGGTTAGACAACTTTAGATACGTTACTCAAATTGGAAGTCACCGCAGTTGTCCCCCGTGCACCCGTGTCGCTCATCATGCCTCAAATTTGCCACTTATGCGCTACAATATCACCCCACGCACAATTATCTCTCTGGTGCCAAAATCATCCGATAGCGTCCCCTCAATCTGTCCCCGAAGAGCCATCCTTCTCAGCCACGCCACCCCCGCCAGTGCTGCCGCAGAAAGTCTCCCTCTCCTCCCCATCGTCCAGTGTCCGATGGAGCGGTCGCCGGCCGGCGTCGGTCCGCCAGCGCGTTCCCGTGTCATCGGTGACCGTCCAGCGACACAATGGGCACCACATTAGCCGTGATGGAGTCGCCGCCGTCGCCGCCGCACCGGCACGGTAGCCGGCGGCGGCCGTCCTGGCGCCGCGCCGGCGGTCGGTTTTTGCGGCGCTGCACCGCCGACAGTGAGTCAGTGTCCCTGGGGAGCGGACGTCGGGCAGGCCGGCCAATCAGCCAAAACAAGGTCCCCTCGCGGTGAGGAGCGGCGCCGCGGCACGCGCCGGCCCGTCGTCCGCCGTCTCCAATCGCAGGAAGTGGGGGACGACGACAGCGGAAACCCAGACGGTCTGCTACCATCGTCGGCAGCGACGCGGGGCGGGCAGACGGGCCGGGACGCCCCGGTGAAACGACGGCGGGATGAGTGCATCCGGTGGCCGACCGAGGGTCCTACGGCGAACGAGTTTTGTGTAACGACGAAACAAAGAACCACGCCCGAGCCGGCGACCAGCGGCTCATAGTTTGATTAGAGCTGGATTGAAGCACCCGGAATCTGATCCTGCTCTACGACATAATCACATTAAAAATTAGCATAAAAGCACCCATAACCGCTTTACTGCTACGCAAAGCTTATCGCAAAGCCATTAAATATTGATAAAAACGACCGTGAAAGCAGCGGGCGCCGTATGGCCGGATATCGGATGACACGGTCCGTTCGCCGGCTGGGCAGCACCCCTTTCCCGAGCGGCGCGGCGTCCGCCACTCGATCTCATTGGTACCGTCCGGTCCGTCCGCGCGGAGACGCCGCAATCCACCCGGAGTTGTGTCTACTGGAGCGGAGAACACTGCCAGTCAGCCGTGCCAGGACACAATCCGCGCGGACCGACCGAGAGGGTGATCTGATTCGAGTCTGATTCCGCGCTGAGTGTGACCGGCCCGAACTTGAGAGAGCGCTGAGCTGTAAGTACAGCACCAAGCTCTCTGTTCACCCTGCGGCGGTGTCAGGTCTGAGCTCACATCTGCGCGGACTTCGCTCCCGGACACCGGGTCATGTCTGATCCCGCCGAGCGAGGTCCTCCAGTCGGGCGGGCTCTGCGGTCCCGCCCCCATCCGGCGCCGGCCCTTGATGAGGTGATCACTCTGTGTTACCGGACCGGAGGCGGTCCGATGACCCGTCGCTACTCGGCGCCGATTCTGGCTCCGAGAGATCGTCGCGGTCGGCGCGGCCACAGATCGAAGGGGAGAACGGAAAGCATACGGAATAAGAAGGGACGTGGGGCGTTGAAATTCCGTGGGACGTGGACATAACGTGGCGTGACAAGTATCGGACGTGGGACGGGACACGGGACGCGTCGCGTCTTCCAGTCCCACGTCCCACAAGCGTGGGGACGCGTGACGGGACGTGGAACGGGACGGAGACTAGACACAGACGCATCGGACGTGCCCCGGACCAGGCGCCCAGCTCCGCCCCTCGCTCGCCAGGCCCGCGCCAGACGTGCGCCGAGCACGACCCTACATCACCTCGTTATGATTATGGCTGCGAGTGACTCTGACCTGCAGACTGCCGCAGCTGCAGCTGCCGCAGGGGCGGAGACAGGAACAGGAGAAGGGGTGGAGACAGGAGCGGGCACAGAGGAAAAGAAACGGACACAGGGGGAGATACAGACTGGAGCAAAGGCTGAGACAGACGCAATGATAAGTGAGGAATGGGCTGTGGAAAAGAATGGTAGGTCCGCATCATTCCAAGACAGGCAGTGCCGGTGAAGCAGGGTGTTGACAGTGGTTATGGAAGCGTGGTTGTGACTGGCGATGGCGACGGTAGGACGATGCCGCGTGAAAACAATGGTGGCTGCAGAGTCGCAGACACACCCACAGTAACATCTGAGAAGCGACTGTGACTGTGGCGCCTAGCGTTGATAAGTAAGCGAGCGTGACGATGGCCACAGCGATGGCAAAGAGCCGGTGATGGCGATGGCGGCAGCTGTGGCGGTAATGGTGGCGATGCCACCCACACTCCACAGCCTCCAGCCGCTGTAACAGACCCCAGCCGAGCACGTCGGTCCGGAATGGGCGTCGGCCGTGACGCGACTGCGGGGATTGCGGGGATTAGTAGCCGCTCGGGGCCCGGCCGGGGATCAGCGCCGCGCGCTCCGGCTCCGGTCAGCGGGGTCAGCGGAACGAGCCGGATCACCGGGGATCACGGGGATCAGCCGGGATCGCCCGCTCGTCCGGCGGCCGTGTCACGAGTCGCCGACACGGTCCCCGAGGGATTCCCATCCACCTCCCGGCAGCCGTCCGGACAGGATCATGCTGGTTGGTGTCTGTTCCTCCGGAATCCCCTCGGTATGTCGGTACTCGGTATCCATCTCGAGGGAACTCCGCCAATCGATAGTCGATACTCATCTAAACAGGACCTTTAACACTACTTAAGCGTCCAAAAGAATTATACTACTGCTGGTTCTCGCCCTGAAGAATCCATCGCCCACCCTGAAATTTACACAGACGCGTTCTTTGGCAACAAACAACCGCTTGAGAGATGCTAGCCTATGAGCTCTGCCTATTCACTCTGAGACTCCCCTGCAGGCCTGCCCACGCGAAGCCCCACGTGGTGTTGGGTAGCCGGTCGGGAGATAGGTTTTCCGATCGCCGCCGCCTCCCAGGGAGATAAACGATCGTCTCCAGACTGATAAATGGCCAGACATATTCTCGGCTACAGCGCCGCCACTCCAATTACAGCTTTCAGTCAGCTCATCAACGAAAAACAGCATGCATATTGCATACCCAACACATACGTGACAGATGCATAGCTTTTAGAGTATTTGAGAGCCTCACGCGTGTCTTTTTGTGTGATGTGAGCTGCCTGCAATGTGATTCAAAGCTGAGATTAACTAGGATTTACTGTTGGGCAAAACCCCTCTTTTACTGTAGGCTAAAAAATGGAACTCTCTAATCTACTTTTGACTTTCAAAGAGGAAAACAACAAAGGGGTGATCCGGTTCTTTGAGCTGTCGTTCATTTCGTAAATTGCACATCATTACATAACATCAGTCATTCGTTTTCAATCCCGCTCACCCCTCACAATTTAGCACCATTTGTCCCATTCGAGCCCCTCTGTCTCTCCACCTATTCAAAGCCGTGGCTCTGTGATCCATCTGTCGGTCTGCGAGCGGCTGGTCAGCGGCCCACGCCATCCATCAGCGTCCCCGTCAGGAGCGGGTCCAACCGTCGGCGGCCAGCTATGAACTGTTGCAGTCGACCGGTGACTGATGATCGACCTAATCCTGATTGACGAGACGGTACTCACCTGCAGGTACCAGAGATAGAGCCGCCAGCGCCACCATCAGCCGCGGCCAGAGCGGAACCATCTGAAACGCAGGACGGGCGCGTGAGACAAACGATACACGGACACACGCTTCATGTGAAACACACAGCAGTGGGTTAGTGTGAAATACAGGAGGGAGATTTCCTCGAACTGTAGGGCATCGGAAATGAACTGCTAATCGTGTTGCTAGTTTCGTCGATCGTGACCTTCAGAAATCGCCCCAGTCTTCCACAGTTGTTGCTGAAATGCGCCGAGCGTCTCCGCCGCGACTCGGGGACGTGCTGGAAAGTTTGCTGCTCGAGAGGGCTCAGATGGCATCGGGCTCTGATTGAAATGCTGATTGAGCACGGACAGATTGGCGCGTCGTTTTGTGCCTGAGGACGGTGCCAGCTGAGCAGTCGTCACAAACCGTACGTCACGAACAGCCGGCACCGTCACAGATGCAGAGATCGGTTTACACGTCACCATCACGGAACCCGGAGTTATCTCCGTTAGAGATCACAGTGTTAAGGTGGCTCAGCTAAATCTCGTGAGAATGCATTCCAGTAAAACAAAGAGATGTGATGTTTTAATGGCGACAGGACAGTTATGTTGCCTTGCATTTCATCTAAATGCAAAATCATCTTATGGCGAGGAACAGGCGATAAAACGCGCTTCTAATTAGACCCATTTCAGTAATTTTCCCCTTTAATGTGTGCGTCAGGGATATAAAACGTCAAGCGCAGCAGACAACTGTCGCTCCGGCGGGCTTAAAACGACGTCAGCCTTTGACATTCGCTTCTCAGTGGGCTGCCATCCCTCTGTAGTGTCGGGATAATGCAATCCCGGCCGAGGCCGGTCCCATTCTGGGTAACTGGGCCGGCGTCCGTGAGCGGCCCGGCCCGCGCAGCCTCCCCATCGGGTCGGTGGTTCCCGGTATACGGCCAACGGCCGGGCCACGCGCGTGGTTCGCACGCCGGCGGCGCTAATCAGTATCGGAAAGTGAGCGGCCGCCGCGCCTTTAACAGGATTGCAGTGCCGAGCGGGCCGTTTGCACGTACTCCCGTCGGCGCCAGTTAAACCCGGGCGCCGAATAACGACCCTCTGTTGGCGCTCTGAGCGGCTCTCATTGTGCTGACTGTATTCTGACCAAGCTCTGAACAGGATAGTCAGGGACCATTCAGTTTACATTATTTAACTAGCTAGCTTTAACTAGCTTTGCCAGAATTCCGTTCAGAGAAACCCAAAACTGAATAGCTCCATTCTGCAACAGCAATAATCCAATATTACATGAGCTTATCGCACTATGATCATGCTCGCTCGCCACTACAAAAATGGTTGTGACTTAGTCATAAGCGTTTTCCGTTCCATCCCTACCAGCGTCTTTCGTTCACCGGTTACGTACTTCACACTTCGTCGCCAGTTCCCATCCGTCCGCTCTCCCCCTGAGGCTTCTTTTCTCCCGTTTCTCTGGCACCCTACCTATTCAACCCTGTTGTCCCGCTACGTCCGTTTCCTCCTAACCTCCGAGGTCCCATTTCTTTCTCGTCCCCCGCGGTCCTATTCCTTTCCTTCTCACACCCTCCATGGTCCTATTCCTTTTCCTCCTGCCCTCCAAAGTCCCATTCCTTTCCCTCCTGCCTCCGCGGAGGTCCCGCTCCTCCTGTCCCCGGCCAGGTCAGAGTCCCGATCGGGTCGTTCCATCGGTCGCGGCGCGGTCGGGACCCCGGTCACGCCTCTGGCACTTGTCGGTCCTCTCTGACCGGCCCCGAGTGTTCCCACGGGGGCCGTTCCTGACGAAAGACGACAGTACGGCCACCGTCTCTCCGGGACCTGGCCGACCGGTGGCACCGCCGACATCGCCTCATGGCAGCGATCGGGAGTGTAGAGTGCTGCTCGGGGACAGGAACAAGGCGGGACGTCTCCTCGGAGACGCGGAGGGTGTTATAATGCATAGGAAGACGTGTAAAGTGACGGTGACAGTGTTGGCGGTGGCGGTGACGGTGGGATTGGCGATGGCAGACACTGTGACAGTGAAAGTGATAGTGACAGTGGCGGCGGCGATGACGGCGGCAGTGACAGCGAATGACATTGATGACAGCGGGGTATCCGTTGGGCTGCACCCATCTCAAACAAGCGTCGCTCTACCGCTGAGCTGAAGCGCTGTGTCAGCCGTGCCACCCGCCACCGCAGCACGGCACTCTATTTGCTCTGAACACTCGAACAAGCACGGTTCCTGACGGCGGCGGGAGGCGGCTGACAGGCTCTGCCCCGCTCGGCCCCGCCCGGCTCGCCGACGGCCGGGCGGAGATGCGGGCCGAACCGACACTCGATTGGCCCGCTTTGCGCTCCGTTGCACCCCTATGAATGGCTGGAAATAGAGGGACCGAGGCGGCTCGACCGGCCCGAACAAAACGGCGCCGTTATTGAATCAGGGTCGAACGGACGACATACGGGCGGATACGGGCCCGATGGAGCGGCACCAGTGCCACATTGGTTGTCACTGGGGTGAGAGGTGGCCATCGGTCGGTCAGCTGCCGTGCTGGTCAATGGTCTGGTCACTGATAGCAGATACTGACACAACACTGGTTGTGGTTCACGGTAACAGCTTCTCGTGAAAGTCTTGCATCAAATGTGCTAAAACTCCTACCCAAAGATTCCAGCAACGCACCAGGTACTGAAAGCATCTGATGATTTTATTCGGTCGCTGGTTACTGACTGATCGATCAAATGTTATCGGTCATCGCTTAGTGTGACAGGTGACCCCTGGTGACCGATAAAACGCGCCACTCGGCCCAGCGTCCATCACTGGCCGTCCAACCAAAGTCCGTATGTTGACGAGAGCCAGACGCGCCTCGCCCGGCCCGTCCGCGGGTGACGGGCGCAGTCACAACACAAACACGAGCCGAGCTAACTATGCGTGACCACGCACCAGAGGAGCAGTCAACACAGGGCCGCCGGGACGGCGAGGAGGTCAGGGCAGGCAGATGGGACCCAGAGCTCAAGGCAAACACGGCACGTAAGACATAGTGCCTGTAGATCGTGGTGGTGTGCTACCCACAGGCCGTGAAGATGAGTGGTTAGTGATTATCACGTCTTCTAATTGGAAGTGAGCGACAAGCGTGAAGTTAATAGTGATTATAGAAAAGGTAAACAAATGAAAAGGTAGAACAATGCATACCGGATGCCTGACAAAGATGTCCGGTCGATGACCTTCAGCAATCTAAAAGATGCATACTTGGCCAACGGAATCGGAATGGTGAAATCGTACCGGCAGTTCCGAGTGATTACCGAGTGTAACAATCGGCCTCCAATGAGCTGTAATAGACGACCGCGTTCTTCAATCACTATCGATCGATCGACCGCGATCGGTGACCTGAAGCCTCGGTAATCTGACCACTAATCACTCCAGGAGTGATCGGCATCGCTGCCAGTCCTTGGCCTGGCCGTTGGTGTCCACGCATCGTTACGACCAACACGCGTCACCGTCGTACAAACGCGTGTACTCGCAACCAACACAGTGAGTCACCGTGTCATTCAGCCGTCGAACAAACAGCTCCCCGTGAGGCAGAGCGGTGCGGGCGGCGGCGAGAGGCGGAGAGAGGGCGGGGGCTCGTCCTCCGCTCCTCCCACCTCCTCTATGGGGGATAATTTTTTCAGTACCTAAATTTCAGTTATTTTGCACTAGCATAAGTTCAGTTTGCACTATCGTCTTTTCGCAGGCAATTCCTGTCAAACACAGGTATATCCGGTCATTCCGCACTATTTTAGTTAGTATAGAGGCGATGCCAGATCTGGCATAATAAATGGGTGTGTGGTAGCTCATTTTGCACTAAATCCGGTATATGAGCACTATTCATGATTTCACTGCTGAGCACGAGCTACTGCTATGATCACAGTATTCTTGAGCCTTGAGGTATTTATTTTTTATGTTGTACGTAAGTTGGACATCAAAGTATGATCCTCCATTCAGCATATTACTTCCACGATGAAAACGGAATTGGAGCAAGTTTTGTTGCATAGGTCCTGCCCTCTACGCAATACACCACGCCCGGTGTGCTGCCCCCTAACGACTAATAGGCATGCTGGGTATATATTAGGTAAATTTGTGGAAAAAAATGCGCATCGCTTAGGTTCGTGGGACAAAATCATGTACGCAAATGTACGGTACACGGTCTGCCCACCGGCTTCATCTGGCTCACGATGCAGCGTGACCAGTGACCACTCATGCTCCTCAGCAAAGTACCACCCCCTCGAAATGAGAGCTGGCTCGGCGTTAGGCCGCTGAACGATGAAACGCTGCTGCGAAATGCTACAATCAAGATCCATCTAGTTGATGTGCGTCAATGACAGACACGTCCCTTCCACGACAGGTACGGAAGGGACGTCGAGTGCTTCCTACTAAGCATGGGAAAATGCCACCGCACATTTAGTTTAAGCATTTGCTACTGCAATGCTGTACCTACATGCCCATAGCGCCGTTAGATAACCTGACAGAATAAAGACAGCAGCACTGGCGGACCAGTACGCTTGGGCGGACGGTAGGACCCAACATCCTCGCGGAAATCGTCATCACTCTCCAATCTCTATGCTAAGAACCTCGCTCAGTTCACTCTTGGACAAGAAAAGGCAGGATGATCGGCACACGCTGAGGCTGTACGTAAATCAATCTATCCAAATGCCAAATCCGTCCAAGAAGCGCGCCTTGCGTCCTATCGGTCCTCTCAAAACGCATGCGCCGAAACAGACGCTAATCGACCTGGCAACAAACAATCTGTAGCTAGTACAGACTAGTATTGTAGTTTATTTCTCCATAATATACTAAAATCCTTCTAGATTTAGTAGGGATACCTAAACATCTACCAAAAATAGTGCGAAATGACTACCATTAGGTGCCATTCAAACTAAGTGTGTACTGTGTGTACAAAGTGTGTACTGTGTATATTTATCCACCCGAGCACAAAATTTGTGTACAGGGTGTTCCGAAAAAAGTGTCACAGTTTCAAACGTGTATTATAAACGCTTGACAAGTATTAACGCATTAAAACATACACCATATGAAAGCTCACGTTTGTCGTTTTTCAACAAGGTTACTCTCGTATCAGTGCTATAACTCCTTGCCAGAGGGCAGAGGAGTTCCTGCGATCACAAGTTTACGCGAACTTCTTGTAGTTCACGTTCTCGATATGGGCACCACCGCGGTTGAGACACGCCTTGATTCTGGCCTGGAAACTCTCAGCGACTTTCGTCAGAGTCTCGGGACCGACTTGATGCAGGTATCTTTCGACGTTCTGCTTAAGCTGGACCAGTGTCTTGGGCTTGCCTGCGTACACAGTGTCCTTGGCAGCCCCCCACAGCCAAAAGTCTAGCGGGTTGAGATCAGGGCTGTGGGGAGCCCACTCATGGGCGGTGCCGAGAGACATGAGGCGAGCGTTGAACAGCTCCTTAAGGCATTCGATACTCTCACGCGCAGTGTGAGGCGGAGCTCCGTCTTGCATGAACCATGCCTGTTGCAGTTGGTTATCGGTGAGCATATCGGTCAGATCCGCGTAGAATTCCCGGATGACCTCGCGGTAGCGCTCGCCATTGATGGTGACGGTCCGGCCATCTTCTTCGAACCAGTAGGGACCGAGGAGGCCGTGAGTGGCGTTGTAGGCCACGAAGGCAGTGACCTTCGGGCCCTTCAGCTGCTTCTCCGTTACTTCTTCCGGTGGTGAGTTACCCCAGAAAGTGTTGTTGTGGTTGTTCACCGCACCGTTCAGGTGGAAGTGAGCCTCGTCTGAGAACCAGACTCGGTTCACCCACCGCGCGTTCCTCTCCATCTTGTTGGAGATCCATTGACACATGACTTGCCGCTTTTGCCTGTCCCGATCCGTCATCTTCTGTCTGGTGGATATTATGTACGATGACAGTTTTAGCTCGTCGCATAGGATGCGTCTTACGCTGGTTTTAGCAAGTCCGAGCTGTTGAGAGCGTCGACGGAGCGACTTCTTGGGACTGGCAATGACGGAATTTCGCACGGCCGCGATGGTCTCTGGGGACTTTGAAACCGATGCTGGCCTGCCGCTGCTGCCCCTGTGAGTATTCAGGACTGAACCTGTTGTCTCAAAATGGTTAACAAACCTTGCAATGAGTTTGTTGCAGGGCAGATCTCGAGTTTCCATGTCACACTCGCGTCGAAGTCGGCGGCGGACGGTGACGTACGATTTCGTCTCGAACCATAATCGGACGATTTTGATTTTTTGTTCTGGCGAGAAAACCATCGTAGATTTTGGTGAACCGTTTTGTCCACCAAAATCGACAAGGGTTGTGAGCAACATATCTTAAGCCAAACTATTTCGGACAATTTTTACGGAAATCGCACGTGACTAAAATCGTGACACTTTTTTCGGAACACCCGGTATTGCATTCAAAATTGTATGATTCAAAGCTACTGGCAGATTCTAACTTAACCCTCGCCGGCACAGGCTATTTTGCGTCCCTCGACGGCACACGGGGGGGCGGTTGGAACGACCCCCTCGCGTTTGCCCCTGATCGAGCTAGAGCTTCTCGGAAAAACGAGCGCGTTGCCCGTCACGAGAGGAAGCCGATGATACCCGATTTTAAGGTCCTAGGTCATCGGTTCACCTTCCAGGTCAGGTCAATGACCAAAAAGTCTGGAAAATCGGGACCTGTTAGAACGTCATAAAGTGTGGCCGCTATGGTTTTTTCGGGGCGCTGATCACGAATATCATGTCAGTTTTGATCACAGATGATATCGTCATGCATTTAGGCCAGGCCGGGTCAGGTCAGGTCAGGTCAACCATTATGGGTCCTGCCGGGTATTCGTAGTGCGTGTCAACCGCCTCTGACAGCTTCATAACGTGTTACGAAGGCACCAAAATTACTTCTTAGGTGTTCAAATGGTTGCTAAATTCGAATGCAGCTCCAAAAACTAGCTTAAAAATGTAAAAGTCGAAAAAGTGAGCCGAGGTCATCAAAGGTCAATGACCTGACCTGACCTTCAGGTGATCTTGAGTCTTGACATACACCCTAATGTATGGGAGCAGCATCAAATCACATGTTTGATTGAACGCTTGAAACCACGAAAAGACTGCAAACGCGCGGCTAATGCGAGGACATACGCCGAATCGCGATTCCGGCCAAATATGGTCTCGAAAAGTAGGTCACAGGTCAAAGGTCATTTAGATCGGGTCATATTTTTTTAGGTTAGGTGTAAAATTGATCAACGCGACTGCGAGGGTACTGAAAGTTTCGTCGCGATCGGCCGTTTTTTACGTGAGCTATTTGCGAAAAGCCCTTAGGGGGGTTGCATCCTCTCCTCTGCAGGCGAGGTTAAAACCCTGAAAATTTTGGTTTCCGACAATACTCATGAGTTGCAGTTTTGACTATTGTTGTTAATAATATTGTTTTAGTGTCTTATTACACTTATTATGTTGCCTTAATAGTTCATAAATTGTTGTTTAATGTTTAATAGGCGTCATATACAGGGTGGAAAGTAATTACGCGAATATGTATTTTCTTACAAAAGTTATCCGCCAGTGGAGCACTTTGCATGAGCGCGGGTTGTCATAGATATAATGGTCGTGTTTGTTGTCACTTCATCTACCAAAAGTGGCCTAACTTTGGAGAATGACCTGGAAGGTCTTCAACACCTTTCGGCTTCGAGTGGTGCTGACGCCATACGCTGCTCAAGACCAACATAAGTGAAGAGCACAATTTGGAGCTGCCAGGGAAAATGCTTGTGATGATTTGATTGAACTGGAGCGGAAGGGATTCGTAGCAGTCTCGGCACCAGCATTACACAGTTATACATTTGTTTGAAGCATAAAAACATTTGAGAGGACTTTAGCCTTCCAGGCGGTGGGGGGGGGGGGGCCAAAATGCCCCCCCCCTTTAGTTTTTTCGATATATCTCGAGAACCGCTGCGCCGATCGTCACCAAACTTTGAGTACCCTTCCGTGAATAGCTATTGCACATTGTGACCAAAATTTTTCCAAAGGCTATGATAGGTTTGACGCTAATGACGTCAGAGTAACGTCATTTTTGCCATTTTCGACCCAAAAAAGGTTTCGCGAGAAGAGCTGCCGGGCCTACAGCTTTAGAGATACAGAAAAATGTTTCGGACATAAAAGGTGTAGAATTTAAAGGGCTACAAAAGTGTTATCTCAGATTTTTGAAGTTTTTGGATTTTGACCCCAAAAATAAAAAAATAGATTTTTTGAATATAACAGCCGAAAAATCCAAAAAGTTTTTTGAATTTCGAAAAAAAGCGGAATATATGTGATAGTGTCCCTACCACCTTCTATCTACATACCAAATTGGAGATCGATACCTCTTTTTTTGGCCAAGTTATAGCGAACAAACTTAAAAATTGATAACGTCAAATTTTCAAACTCGATTTTTAGCAATTCTAAACCTCGTAGCGCAAAAAAAAAGACCACCATTAGAATCCCCGTGACGAGCTGCATCGAATCAATAGGTACCCATTTCATGCAAAAATATCAACTTTGAAATTTGACCTTTTTTGACCTGACCTTGATGATGATATTTATTGAACAGAAAGTACTGGAACAAAGGAGTAAATAGGAGATTGGTGCAGAAGCTCAAGGCTTAACTCGGGGCACCTCTCTCCGTGCACACTCATTCACAAACATACAAGCTTACGTGCAGACTCGTACCTATGCGTTACACTATACACATTCATACAAACACATACTCTTAATCACTTGTACTGGCACGCGCACACGTAGCAATTCTTGGCGTATCAGGTAATTATTGTGTACTATTATTAGCGACACGTGCATACATGCACTCACACACGCGCGCTCTCACACACATCGCATTTTCAAACAGTTACACTACACTCCATCGTACGCATCATACATTCTCACACAATCAGTCATCGATGTCTCGCGTTCATTGCACATCAGCGACCACCGCACGAGGAGGAACACCCGCCCACAGCGCCCCGGAACAGCCGCCGGGAGCCGCCGCCCCACGCGCCCGAGAGATTTGGTGATCAAAATCTGTGGGAATTAATTATGTATTTCTGGAAACAGCTTGCCACCTCTCGTCCGCTGCCCGGGTTTAGTAACTCGCCATGAAGTAGCATCTTGAGTTGTTTAGATGTTGGCAAAGTTCGAAAGTCAAGATTGAGAATTGTGGATAGTTCCTCGAAAAGCGTTTGTCGAATATTATTGTGTGTAGTGCAATGAAGGATGTAGTGTTCCGCAGTTTCAAGTGGATGGCCGCATGGACAAGCATTACTGGTCCAAGCATTACCTTGACCTGACCTCCACCAGAAAGTGACCTAAACCGTACCTGATGGTCTTATAACCAACACCATTGAGTTGGAAATGAAAAACTGGCCATAAAACATGCATCGCACAACCTTAGTAAAGTTGGGTTCATGTGGTGACCCTTGGTGACCTTTGGTGACCTGACCTGTGACCTGACCTGGTATGACCAGTGACCTCTAATAGCAACATATGTACTAGACAACTGACGCCCTATCGCTGATTTTGGACAAAATGCGTTTTACTCGGTGTTATAGCGCTTTCCCTAGAAGCCCCGTGAACGGTGAAACATTTTATCTTTGACTTGACCTGTGACGTCATCGGTGACCCCGAGGTCAATGAAATTTGGTTTCCTTCAACAAATTTGACAGGGCTATCGAACGCCGTTTGAATTTTCCGGATCCGTCCAATCATTTCGGAGATACGGGAGGGGGGCAAAAAATGCCCCCCCCCCACCGCGCGGAAGGTGGCCGGGAGGCCCACTGCCTGCCGGGTTAAAAGCAAAGCCGTTCGCAGCAACCAAACCTCAGCGGATTCAGTCGCCGAATGGGTGGTCACCATGTCAGCGACAAAACCAAAACGCCGCCAGTCGATAAGGAAACTGGTAAAATAGCTTACTGTGGCCGGGTACCCGATCTGAGATATCACGATTCGCACATAAATCCGTGAAAAAAAAGCCGCTGAAACCATCGGGGTGACCGAAATTCACCAATTTACAGTAGGATTGTTGATAAAAGTTTTCCAAAAACCAACAAAGTAGAGACAGAGGAGGACGACAGAGGAGGGCGAGCAGCTAGCTTCGTGGTTGGGTGAGACATCTTTGCAGCTCTTTCAGCCGTCAAACCTGCAGTACAACTTCGTTGGGAGCTGCCGATGCGCCCTATGTCCCGCCCGTCCCAACCTTCAACCATCTGGCAAAGGAACACATCAGTGACACATGAGTCCCCGGATGGTGTTAGAATTAGGTACATGTAACTCCCAAAAAAGACACCTAAAAATAATATAGCCAGTGGAACATCCGCCCAGACGAGTGTCTCTGTATAATCCACGGTGCAGCAAAAGGGGCAAAATGATTAAACGCAATTTTGTGTCCGACACAAAGAATCTGTTCTTCGTGATTGGTTAAATCCTTACTTTCACGGCCAACAAAACTCAAGACTTGTGCCGTAAGTACCTGTTTTTCTTCAAAACATACAAAAAATGATCTGGGAAAAGCCAAGACCTTAATTCGATTAAAAATATGCAGGTGACTCCTCAGGAGACCGTCTAAAAGCTGCAAGGAGCCACCAATACCGATTGCCTCACTGGACAGCTCCAGAAGGTGTGGGCTGAGCTTTGGCCAGCAGTTGTTCACATGCCATGATGCCAATCATGCCGGAACGCCTATTGTCAATGTATCGCAACTATGTAGATAAGGATAAAGTAAAACTTATAGTTTTCATCTCACCGCCGTTTTTTCCATTGCTAGATGATGAAAAAGTATATTCGCGTAATTATTTTTCACCCTGTACTGATGATAATGCAAGCAACCGCGCTCAGTCTTCCTATGGGCTATCCTCGTATTTGCCTTTCCGTCGTAAACAGAACGGTTTCAAAGGTAATATTACGGCCACTGAATGATCGCGATCCGGCGGGACGGCCGGTCCCCCGGGCGCGTATTCGCCAATTGTATTACACGAATCGGCCGACCAATAGCGTGCCTCCTGAGTGACGTCAGCGTGGCGTCATACTTTCGGTCCTCGCCCTTGGTGGCGTCTATTGAAGCTAGGTTTTAAGTTAATGACATTTAAGCTGTTTGGACAATGTTGTCGCCGTGGCGAAGTGATTAGAGTATCGGACTGGTGATTCCGAGGTAGGTTGTTCGAATCCACTCGGCGACTTCGATTTTCGTGTCATCTGTCATTGTGCGTTTTTTATACATTTGCAACGGCGTGCACCTAAGAAATCAGACGTAGGCATTCTTCTAATGAATATGTTGCATAAGATAGATATTTGCAGTCCAACCGATTGGTTCGGTTTCGGTATTTTCCAATGGTCTTTGTTTGTATTTGGTTTGGTAGCGGTGTTCTGATTTTCTGTGATTGACATCACTAATGCATAGTGCATACTATGCGAACGTAGCCAATGGAAAGACAAATGGTGCTGGACGATGGCCATTCATTGATCAATATTTCTCACTGCCAATGGGTGATAGCACGCAGCATTGACAGGGGCGGCGCTGACCTTTTGAAAGTAGGTGGGCACTTGGCAAGGTAAAGTACCTAAAAGTAGCGAAAACTAAGATGAAAAGTAAAAATCGCACGCTGGTAAGCATAGCTTTTCGTGTAAGAATCACCATGCACAAAAAAAGTTCGGCATAGCTGTTAGCGTAATCACGGGACGAGATATCAGTTTCCAGCCGTCAGAGCGTCATCTATAGGAGCTATGCCCTAACTATAACTTACATTTCAGCCGCCAGGGGGATACCTAAGTCCCCTTACTTGGAATCTAGTTAAAGTCAAAAAGATTTATAAATTATATTAGACGTTTATGAAAATAACTTGGGACTGGTTGTTAAGTTGCATGCTCACGGCGGGCTGTTATCAATTTATCTCTATACATGTCTTATCTGATCCATGAAATAATACAGGAATCCGTTGTCATTCGAGTGTGTTTCATAATAGCTCTTCCGACTTTGACGAATATCGACAGTGCCGTAACAAAATTGGTAGTTCAGGTATAGACTGCAACTGCAGTTCTTTTGCAACTTATTCCTTAATCAGATGAATACTTGTCAGAGATTTATTGGGCGTACGATATTGGCGTGCGAACGTAGGGGCCAAAAATGCGCGTCTACGACCGACTTCTTTTTAAGAGAAAAGAACCGCTAAAGCAAGAATCAATCCGACCTTTCGTCCACCACACCGAGACTCTAACCACTCGGCTACGGCGACACATGCATGTTTAATAGCCATATACAATTCCAAAAAAGTCTCAACTCAAATCTAGCCTCAATGCATGCATTGTCGCGGCGGATGGCTATGACGTCGCACTAGAGATGTCGCTAGTTGATGGGCCGATTCGTGTAATACAATTGGCGAATACGCCCCCCGGGCGGTAGGCGCCGCGGCGCCCGCAGACGGCCCGCCCCCCCCCCCCCCCCGGGGTAGGCGAGTCGGCGGGGAGGGAAGAGTAAGGGAGGGCGGCACCCTGCCCGGTCACTCTCACCTGGCTCACTGCCGTCACGTGCTCTGCTGAGGCTCTCAAGCCACCGGGATCTCCGGTCTCTAGCTCCGCGGGTCACCGCAACCCATTCCGTGGTATGTTCAAGGCAGACTGTGCGGTAGGGTAGTGTGGGGTAATTTGAACATATTTTTACGTCTTCTCCGTTGTACCAAATTCCAGCTCAACCCTGGATGAAGAAAAACTGTTTCAGTAGCGCATGTGTCACTTGCTTTCACCATGCAAGCCTCATTTTTGGACGAGCCGGGCATACCTTGAATAGCATAGCATCACTTCTCCACCAAGTCACGGTGTGTTCAAATTGCCCCACCGTGGGGTAATTTGAACATACTGTCTTTACCTGCCATTAAAAAGATAGTCTCGCCAGCACCGATGTTGTTTGACCCATAAACAGAGCAATTCTAAAAATACCATCACTTGAAAAATCAACACAACAACAAAAATAAGAGTTGCAGAGTATCAATATCTGCACGCTGCACACCGGTCAGTTGACAGAATTCGCCTCTCTTCAATTAGCAGAACGTCTATCATCTCCGTTCGATAAAAACTCTACCAAACCTTACTTCATCTGTTATAGTGGTGCCAATCGGAACCTGGACATTCGGAGTTCCGATTCTTTATAATGTCCAATTCAGAATTGATTGCACAAAGGTATAGAAGTCTGGACAACGTTGGACGATGACCTGCCACACTTAAAGGGACACTCCCACCTTAACATTAGTTTTGAGTTGAGATAGCCAAATTGGTGGCCATGGCCTGCAAATAGCGGTTTGGGCACTCACAACATCGAAAAATGCTTTAATTCGAAGATATGGAATTTCAAACTTGCAGTTTTCGGATTCTAAGGGGCTAATGCATTGGAATGCCCCCTTAGAATTTGTGACGTCAGCGGAGATCTAATGATTTTTAAATCTTAGACTAAAACCATCGTTAACACGTGGTGGTATACGCTGCTTTGCGCGCAACGTCTGCCGCACTTTAAGGCTGCCAAATTATTGCTTCCAAATAAAGTCGCTAGTATCAGGGGAGATCCCAAAAAGTAAACAAAAGTAAAAGCCTAATATCTTGAAAACCAGTGAATATTTTTCGGTGAAATTTGGTAGATATTCGTTTTCGCTCTTTCTGAACCAAGGGACATCACTTTCATGCCAATTCAATAACTTTTTTGAAGGTGGGAGGGTCCCTTTAAGCATTTTTATCAAGTAATCGTGCGTAGCATTGATTGGCGAATGGAAAGCTTGTTAAGCTCTCAATATAATGAACACTTTTCGGCTGGTAAAATTACATGATAAAGCAATATAAATGACGGTTTTGAGTGTTGATAGCTGCATAATTTTCGGACATATTTGGACAAATAGTTGACTTTAACATTTTTGGACGGAAAATCAACGAAAATGCCAGACATTAGGCGGATATTAGACGTAAATTTTATAAAACTGGCATCACTTATCTGCTACTGCTTTGGGTCAAAAATATTGGCAAAAAAACTGGGAGCGTTGTTTTTTCGGAGCTATCCCTGTCTTCATTGAAATTCTCACACTATGTTCAAATTACCCCACGCTAAAAGTTATTTTGCAATTTTTAAAAACAGGGTTCAAAAGCAAATTTCGTGGATTGAAGGCACTGATTAGGTCATTGTACAACAAAAGCCGTTGCGTATTAGGCGCTAACAATGCAAGATTTTGCGCTGCAATGAAGTTGCAATGACGTGTTGTTAGGCGTTTATCCTTGCGAAATTGATTTTTTACACTGTGCGTCAACATCTTCATTCCCTGAAACTTTAAACCCCATTCATATGATAGCCCTTTTAGTTACGATAATTTCTCTCATTGGTCTTATTGTCATGCCACTTATGGATTTTCCGTAATTTTGTGTTATTCACACTATGTAATTGCCCCGCATGTTCACACTATCCCACCCTACCCTATATAGATACCCCAATGTGTGGGCATTGGCTGTCCTGCGGACACCAACGGCCCCTGGCTGCTGCTTTGGGGCGTCATCGGACAGGCAGCTGGCGAGGTTTTCCAGGGCGAGGCACGGCACCAGGGAACTCGTCATCTGTCGACACATCGGGCACTGGCGCGACTGACCACCCCCGTACCTCAGCGGCTGAGCATGGCTGGCTTCCTCAATGCAGCCTCGACAGAACGTGTGTGAGCATCCCAGGGTCACCGGCCTCTTGAATACGCCCAGGCAAATGCTGCACTCGAGACACTCCCGCTGCTTCTTAATCTGCTCACGAATTGTGTCAGCTTGAGTTTCTGCGTCTTTCCCTTTCTTGGTTTCTTGTGCTTTTGCTTTATCGACATCGCGACCCTCAGACTCCTTCAACAGCATCTGTAGGGTGACCAGCTGCTGCCCCAGCTCAAAGTTCATCCGCTTCATAGTGGTGACGGTCTCCTCGCTGGCTGTGTAGTTGGTCAGGAGTCGCGTGTGCTTCTCAGTCAACTCTTGGCATTGGGCTTCCTTTTCGGCCATTTCTTTCCTGTAATTTTCCTCATCGTGCTCTCGTTTTTTCTGTTCCTGTTCTCTCTGTTGCTCCAACGCTTCCCGTTCGCGTTCATGGATCGCCAATGTCTCTTGATCTCTAGTCTGCTTCTCGGTTAATGTTTTAAGCTCCTCCTGCAGTTGCTTCTCTTTTTGCACAAATTTTTGCTCTTTCGACTCCCATTCCTTTTCTTTCTCCTGCCAGGTTTTCTCTAAACGCTCCCAATTCTTCTGTCGACAGTTCCATTCCTCCTCTTTGCGGCGCCATTCTTGTCTCTCCATATCCACTTCCTCTTCTGCTTTTCCTTTGGTCCATTCAAGACCCTCCCGATCTCGCTTTCTCTCTTTCGCGCCATCTTTCTTGGCGATTGTCTCAGTTCCCTCCCCGGATCCTGACTCTTCGGTGAGATCCTGGTAGCCGGTTCCTTCCGCATCATCGTGCCCTCTGGCAGGAGTCTCATCCTTTGCGATCGGTGACCCTAAGATGGCACTGTCCTTCGCCTTGAGCACACCCAACACTTCCTCCTCTGTCCATCCGAAGAATGTTAGCACGCGCTCATTGTGCGCGTCCCGTAGGCTATGGCTCTTGTAGCACCGTTCCCCGTACTTGCAGCGTGCGCGCGCGAACGCCTCGCAGTAGTGCAATCGCAGGCAGTGGCGTTGACAGCCCTGTCCGCTGTAGACTGACTTGCAGAGACTAGGCCTGGTCGGCTGTCGGCGTATCTGTTCTCTCAGACGTCTTAGCACCTCTGAAACGGGCGTGTCGCTCAGACCGGCCTTCATGAGGGCGTGCATGTTGTGCGCGCTGTCCACCACACTGTGGATGAGCCCGCAGTTGTCCAGTGGACATTTGTCCAAGACGTGCCGGTGACAGACGTGCAGTCGCACGCAGTCGGCTGCTGTACAGACGCCCATGTTGTACATGTGACACACACTGAAGTTGTGACCGCGAGCACGCTGCCGCATTATGTCCAGCGCCCGGGCCATGTCGCCAGGAGAGGACCAGCCCAGCGGCACCAGCAAGCGGAGGTTCCGGGGCGTGTACAGCATGTGGGACAGGGAGCAGCCGCTGCCCGTCGCACATCGACCAAGCAGGAAGCGGTGGCACAGGTGCAGCGCGCGGCAGTCCTGACGCTCGCAGCCCGCTCGCTGACTGTAGTCACTGCAGGTTGGAGGAAGGAGCCTCCTTTGCTGCCGCTGTTGTGGCCGCAGCCTGGCATGAGGTAATTGACTCATCCCTGCCGCCTGTGAATATAACGTTTGTGTGAAAATAGCTGTAAATGTGAGAACAACTATGCATGTTTTGTCATTGACTGCGGAAGTGTTTTCAATCCTTGTTGGTTTCTTCCCATGCCATGCAAGTATTGTCCGTAAGTTAGCGTCAGCAGAGGCAAGTGGCAACGAATACAGAGTCTGATTCAGAATCGCGTCAAAAAATATTGTCAGGTCCTTTTGGGGGCGGGAGACACGAATATCACATTTATTTTGACCTAGCACCCCCTTTCATACCTTAATCGTCCCTTAACCCGCGCCCCACTGGGGTCTGCGTATAACACGCCCTGGGGGGAGCTCTTAGCCCCCCTCCTAACTCCGAAACTATTGGACCCCCCCCCCTCCAGCGGGTGGTAGGGTCCGCCAATTGCCTAACGAGGCGCGGGTAAAGAGACGATTTAGGGATAAGGGATAGGAGACACACATCTGGAACCCTTGACTAGTTATTGACCCGAGGAATCGATTGGGACCATTAACCCGGGCGGGGCTGGGGGGTAAATTTTATCCCCCTGGCGAATTTTTGCAATATCTCAAAATGGCGGCGCGCAGCGCCGTCAAACTTTCACTACCTTTTCTTACATCAATTTGACACGTTTCCTGAAAATTTGAGCGAAATCCTTTGGATTTTTTTTTTTGTTGAGAAAATGACGTTTTAGTGACGTCATGTTCGCCATTTTCGCCTCAAAAACGGAAATATTTCAAACGCCGTTAACATCTTCATTTTAAAGGGAATCAAGACGCAACAAAAAAGGTTATACGTGATTCTAGTTTGTCTATCAAATGGCTATCTCGGTTTTTAGAATTTTTTAAAATTTGGCCCAAAAGGTTTCAAAAAACTGAATTTTTTAAAAGAATCGGTTCAAAAATGTGGGAGTTATTCAAAATTTTATGACGTCACGACAAACAACTTTTTTGAAAAATGATTTTTTGAAGTTCTAGACCTCGTACGGAAACAAAAATAGCACCATTCGATTTGCCGTGAAAAACTGAATCAGATAGACACCTTTTTAGGCCTTAACAACCAACTTCAAACCTTGACCTCACTTGACCTGACCTTGACCTAACCTCGACCTGAAATTCATCCAGATGTGGTCCATATCACCCATTGAGTGTGCCTATTGAATTCTATGAATAAAATGACCCATAAAACATGTGTCGCACATGCCCTTTTCTACATTTCGTTTTTGGTGACCTGACCTGACCTGACCTGACCTGACCTTGACCTTGACATATGAATGATATTGTATGCAACGAATATTGTCTTAGTAGCCTAAGAACACGTTTTGGGCAATCAGTCTCAGTCCATGACTCCATTCTTCGGCAACTACGGTGCAAGGCCGATACTGTAGAAACTTGCAAATTGTACCCTTGACCTGACCTTGACCTTGACCTCAAACTTTTAATTAAGTTCATGTTTTTTAGTTGTTCGTGATGAGATCTTTCGATTGGCGTTTGAATTTTCCAAATCGGACCATAAGTTCGGGAGATAACAGAGGGGTAAAATTTACCCCCCAGGCCCGCGCGTTCGGCTGGAGACCCCAGCCCCGCGCGGGTTAAGACGTTTTCACGACGGCCATCTGGTACACATTTGGTGCACATCTGGTACAGATTAGGTGCAGATTTGGTCAAATCAGGTTCAGTGTGTCTCTTAGCAGCTATCAGCTAGGGTTGCACTAATTGCTTATATGCCTGCTTTGTCATATTATCAGAGAGCATCATCGATTAAAATACTGAAATAAATTCATAAAATGAAGATATTTGCTGTGATTGTGAAATAAATTAGGTGCAGATTTGGTCAAATCAGGTGCATTCGCCGGATACCCCCTCGTGAAAACGGCTATTATGAACCTAAGAAGAGGCCTTGAGGCACTTTTGACGCGCCCCGTCTTTTAAGAGACGATTAACCCGCGCCCTGCTGGGGGGGGGGTGTTTGAACACCCCCCTTGTGGTTTTTTGCGAATATCTCAAAAACGGCGGCGCGGAGCGCCGCCGTTTTTGGTACACCTTATCATACATCAATTCTACACATGTTGTGAAAGTTTCAGACCAAGGTCATTCAAGGTCAGGTCACCAGGTCACTTGAAGTGACCCCACCTCATAAAAAGTTTCAATGTCTGTCATAGCTACACCGAGTGACCGATCGCTTTGAAACTTTCAACGATTGATAAGGGTAACAGTATCTATAAAATGTATATCTCGGAATTTTGATATCGGTGACCTAAGGTCAGGTCAATTTTGCGACCTCCCCATTATAAGTCAATGGGAGAAAATTGAAATGCTCCTCTTTTGGACGAAAGACATCATGAACACTCCCAAACACCGAATTACAAGTGGTTTAGACACACAGAACATGAAAATGGTGTCCGTGACCCTTGGTTATGCCCTGAGGTCATCTTAGGTCACGAATGGTATCTAACAGTTTTTCGCAAATAACTTTTGATAGAGGCATGCTAGAGCAATGAAAACGCCTTAGATGTGTTCAGCTCGACGATACGGATCGACTGATATGCAACATGACCCTTTCCGGTCAGGTCATGACCTTGACCTGAGGTCAAATTTTCAAGTTAACCTTTCAAGGTCAAGTTATAGTTAATTCGATGCGTCTTGACGAGAGAAACACGATGCCGGTAAAAGTAAGCTCGTACAAGGCTTGGGTAAAAAGTTATTGCAGAAAAACTGTTTCCGAAAAAATCGGCTATTTTTGCAGTTTTTGCCCCCTGCAGGCAAAACCGTTAACCCTCGCCGGACCTATTGGTTTTCTACATACGCGCCGGCCGAGGGGGGGGGGCGGGTACGACCCCCCCCCCCTCGCCGTTTCGCCCCTGGTGGAGCTAGCGCGTCGCGGAAAAAACGAGCGTGTGCGCCGTTACGAGACGCAGAGATTGGTACCCGATTTTAAGGTCCTAGGTCAACCGGTGACCTCTGAGGTCAGGTCAAGTGCCCCAGGGTACGGTTCAGTTTTTGGTGAATAACTTCGCAAAAAACGGCCGCACAGCGCCGATTTTGGCAGCATTGTGTTCGCCTCGCTCAGGCGCGTCGAATGATATACCTTTTGTCCGGGTCAGGTCAACTTGGGGTTTTGACCTCAGGTCAAGGTCAGGTCAGCACCCCCAGGTCACGAAGTTGGTCGAAAGAGGTCATGTCGCATATCATTCGATTCGGCAGGCCTTCATGAGTCCATTGGTGCCTTTCCCGACTCGCTAGCTCAATTTGATCAAGAGTTATTGACGAAAAACTAATTTGACCTTGATGACGTCATAAATGACGTCACGCAAGGTCAACATTGCAAAAGTGGCGCATCTAACCTTGCAAGGAGTGCATCAAATCACGATTCTGTGTGCTTGAGATAGTTGGAGATCGTTCCCGGCGCCAGAATAGCAGTTTGAATTTTTCCCCATTGACTTATAATGGTGAGGTCACGAAAATGACCTGACCTCATATGACCTTTAGGAAAAATCCGAGATATACAAGTTGTGGGACTCATAATGGATACTAGATCCTGCAAGTTTCATTTCCCTGTGACATTTCCTCTGGCAGTGAGGGCGTTGCGAAGTTGCGACATCTGAAGACCGTGCAGAGGTTCACTTATGACGTCATAGGTCAGTGACCTGACCTGACCCAAAAATGCGGTTGGTGTCAAAAGATCCGGCTTGGATCAAAGGTCAGGTATGCCAAGTTTCAGCTCTCTATCGCCAGCGTGTTCGGAGCTATCGCGAAAAAACCCTATGGGGGGGCGGCACCCGCCCCCCCCTCGGCCGGCGAGGGTTAACGTTAGGTCAAATCTGAGCGAATTACTCAGAAAGGGCGTTAATAGGGCTATCGAATGCGCTTTTCCGCAGCGCTGTAGCTCTATTGGTTCCCGAGTTATGCGTTGGCTTCTTGGAAATTTTCGACATTCGACCTGGAAATCGGCGAAATTTTGCCTTCAATGACCTCTGGTGACCTGACCTTTGACCTGAGCAAAAAATTGACCGAAGTGATTTCGTCATTATTTTTGACGCTCTTTCGAACGCCGCCTTCCGCGTATCGCTACGTGGCCCAGGAGCCGAGTTACAAGGGGGGGTGTTCAAACACCCCCCCCCCCCAGCAGGGCGTGGAAATCCAGGACCCCCAGCCGGGCGCGGGTTAAGGGATAAGAGATAGAAAGCACACATCTGGAACCCGAGACTGAGATCAGATATTGACCCGAGGAAGCGTTTCTCTCCATTATTTTGACCCTCAGATGAAGCCTTGAGACACCGTTGACGCGCCCCATCCTTTAACCCGCGCATGACTGGAGTATTTTCCATAACCCGAGTGACTGAGGGGGGGGGGCTCTCCAGAGCCCCCCTCCTATCTCCGAAACTACTGGGCCGATCGTCAAAATTCAAACGGTGTTTGATAGCCCTGGAAAAACTGTCGAGCGAAACCTATTTTCATTTACCTCGAGGTCACTGATGACGTCACAGGTCAGGTCAAAGTAAAATTATCGGCATTTTTGCTTGTTTACAATTTAGGCTCTGGCCGCCGGCTGACAAGTCTGATCAGGCTCATTTTAAGTTTACGCACTCCTTGATATATGCCTTAGATACCCTGAGGGTACCGAACTTTAACTTTGAATTTTTCAGGTCAAGTTCAGGTCACGAAAATTATTTATCATGTATCGGTCACGTGACCCATGTTTTATGGTCCATTTTACACGTAGATTTCGAAAATGATACTGTCTGTGTCATTTGAGGTCATTTTCAGCTGAACTTACCGGAGGTCAGGTCAATTTCAGGTCAGAAAAGCTCAAATTTTGAAAATGAAATTTTTCAACAAAAAGGTGCCTATCAAATGCAGTTTGAGCTCGGGAACACGATGGTGCCATTTGTAATGCTGTACGATATCAAAAACGTGCTGAAAAATGGCTTTGAAAAATATATAATTTCGTAGAAGAATAACCGTATGCTCACTATCTTTTAACAATCCAAAATTAGCCTAAAATGAATGAATATATTTCGGAAACGTTCCTTCTTCAGTTCAAAAGTTAACTATACAAGGCACAGAAATGTACAAATTATTGAACGTCACAAAAACGCCGAATTAACTGATCCCACCAACGGATATTAATGACATTCTCGTGCCATATAAGTAGCACGGCCTCTTTTAACCAATGTAAGACTAAATTAACAGGCAGGCATAAGATAGCGTAACCGAATCTGTACAACTGTATGAGATCACTTTGACCCAACGAATTACTATTCTAGTCATCTCACAAACAAACAATATAATTACAACAAACAAGCAATGTGTACACAACCAACTACTCAGTAGATCGATTGTCCAGCCAGCAATATAGCCATTCATCCAATTGTTCAATCCACTGGTTACACCCATTGCATTCAGTCAGGGAGTCGATAAACCTTCAAACATCCATTCTAACATTCAATCAACCATTCTATCATACAATCAAGCATCCATTCAATGAACCAATCAACCATTCTATCATCCAATCAGGCATCCAATCAACCATTAAATCAATCATACCTGTGATCGTCCATTCAATCACCCTTTCAATCATCCATTCAATCAACCATTCAGTATTCCATTTAATCATCCATATAATCATCCATTCAATGATTCATTAAACATCGGCATTATTTTTTTTTTAACATCAAACTAAGCATTTCAAAAGCCATGCAGATCAACCAGTCATGAGGCTATCCCAATCCCAACATCTATCACGTTTCAGACTAACAGTTCACACTAATCACAGAACTGCCCAAGATGCAATGTTGGTGTTTAGGGCTGGTCGGTAAACTCGGTATGTCCTTATCCACAGTGACTCTGCTATTTTTCTGTCTCTGCTGGTGTTACACGTCTGTAGAATCCGAAATATATTCATTCATTTTAGGCTAATTTTGGATTGTTAAAAGATAGTGAGCATACGGTTATTCTTCTACGATATTCAATCATGCTGCTCATTCTAGTACTTCGCCACCTTATTAAAGGGATCCTCCCACCTTCAAAAAAAGTTAATGAATTGGCATGAAAGTGATGTCGCTCGGTTCAGAAAGAGCAAAAATGAATATCTACCAAATTTCATCGAAAAATATTCACCGGTTTTCAAGATATTAGACTTTTACTTTTGTTTACTTTTTGGGATCTCCGCTGTTCCTAGCGACTTTATTTGAAAGTGCGGCATTTGTTGCGCGCAAAGCAGCATATACCACCGCGTGCTGCCAAACGTTTTAGTAAAAGATTTAAAAATCGTTAGATCTCCGCTGACGTCACAAATTCTAAGGGGGCATACCAATGCATTAGCCCCTTAGAATCCGAAAACTGCAAGTTTGAAATTCCATATCTCCGAATTAAAGCATTTTTCGATGTTGTGAATGCCCAAACCGGTATTTTCAGGCCATGGCCACCAATTTGGCTATCTCAACTCAAAACTAATGTTAAGGTGGGAGGGTCCCTTTAAAACATATAATTGTAAAATTTTGACAATAATGCAAATAACTTGGCTATTTTTTAAGATATTGGGCTAAAACTTGCTAGTGTAGTTCATTAGTGTGTGTTCTATCACATCCATTCCGGTCTTGCGAAAAATCAAAAAGTTCTTAAAAAAAAATCAAAATATTTTTTTTTTTGTAATTGTAAAAACATATTTTTCAAAATTTCAAAATTTCGAAAATTCGGGATAGCAGTATGATAGCTACGTGTATTGTTAGTCCACTGATGCAAAGAAATTGGATCTAGCTTTAAAACTAAGCTCTTGAGAGCGTTTGCCGTAATTCAATATTTTGCATCAAAATCGGCCAACATGACGTCACTCTGACGTCATTTCCGGCCAAACCATGGTAGCTAGAAAGTTGAAATTTAAACACAAGGTGTCAAATTGATGCCGCTGAAGGTGCTGCAAGTTTCGTTTTGATCCGTGAATTGGTTCATAAGATATTGCCGAAAAACGGGAGGGAGGGCTATGTAGAGCCCCCCCCCCCCCCTAGTCATGCGCGGGTTAAGGAGCGATAGGTAAAAGGATGAAAAAGGGGAGCTAGGCCAAAATAAATGGGATGCTTCTGTTTCCCGTCCCCAAATTGACCTGGCCAGAGTTTTTGAAGCGATGCTGAATCCATTCGTTGGTGTTGCTGACGCTAACTTCACGAACACTGAGGGTAGGGAAATAGGCCCCATTTGTAGTTGCTTATCACTTCGTAGCTGGGAATCCGATCATAAGTGAATGAATTTGAGCAGCGAAATTTAAAGCAAAATGTCCAGAGAACGCAATGAGCACAAAATTTCACCTTTCAGGTGATGTGGGACAAAAATTATTTAGCAAAATAAATTATCCTGAGCTACTCGCCCCAGGCTACATTACCTACCTATAACCTGTATAATTACCTACATCGTTAAACGCACTTTACGGTGATGAACACGTCCTTATGTACTTCTCTTTAGGTACGTACTTCTAGTTTACTAGTTAAAAAAAAAAAAAACGTTTCATCTTCTAGCTGAGGTTACGTATTTTAAACCCAACAAACTCACCTTGATTTGAGAGAAATATCACTAGACACGCTAAGAAAGATTGTATGCTCGCATTTTATGTTGAGCTGTGAATACTTCACCGTCCACTCCGCAACTGCGTGGCCTTCTCTCTCGCTGCGGTCGCTGTGCGGGCCAAATCTTGCAGCGAGCTCTTCCCTTTGTTCCTTGTCGTGCGGACGGGGAGTCACTCGGGAAAACCCATGACAGGCTGCAGTCTGCTAGGGTTGCACTGACTCTGCACAGTGCACAGCCCACAGTGCACATGTTCTCTGCACTCATGTGACCGGAAACATGACGTAGGTACTCCACTGCACCGCATCCTTGTCTCACTTCTCTGGGCGCCAGACCGCTTCTACATCATTCCGCCTACAGAGTGACTTGGTCTGGTTTTGTACAGTGATGATGATAGCCGAGTTGCAACTAAGTTCACAGCACTTGTATCTGTCAATCAAAATATGCCGACCAACATGAGTGAATTAATTGGGCAATGGGTTTATCGACTGAGCGCATGCACAAGACGAATGACCAATCCGAGAACTTTGGCAGCGTACGAACTTTGGGACAAAACGAAAGAAAAGAGGTCCCAGGTAGAGGACCCGGGTCCAGGTAAAAGGTAAAAGGTTTACCGGGTCCAGGTAAAAAAGGACCCGGTCTGGCTGCTGTTGTTGTAGCAGTGTTATAGTACGCGTGTAAAACTACCTGAGCTGCATCTCTGCACGGTGTGTACCGGCTGGATGACGGTCGTGGTGACGACTCTGTGCGCCGCCGGCCGCCGCAATGAGCCCATTTCAATGCCGCGCCGTCGCGGGTCGGTGTGTAAGTTTTGTGTCGGCTGGCGGCGAATCGGCCGGCATGGGACCCGCTCGGTACTTGGTCGTAGCGCTCTCACCCCGCTGGGTGAATATTAACCAGGCGCGGCGCGACCCCGACCCGCATACCATATTACAGTGGCCTGTGGCAGTCGGCTTCGAACGAACTATGTGGCGCTAACGTGGCTCTAATGACACGTACCTATGTGGATGATAACTTGAAAATCGGAACGTTGAATCCCGGCATTAATGTGTGTATGAGGCAAAACCATTTTAACTATTGCAAACTAAGTCCCGATTCGCGAAAGCTATCATGCTGCGCGCGGTAACCGTTGTATACAACGGTATAGTACCTATAGGTCCGATTGGGCCCGATGAGCCAGTGCCTGTAGGTTAGGTAACGAGTCATAATTGACTCGTGGTGCCGACCAGCTGTGCTGTGTGATTGTCATCCCTACCGGGGCGATAGTCTGAATGAGACAAGATGCGTATTCTTGTCCTGCACATACGTACAGGTGACTGAACGACGCGACGGAAGGCGAGAGGGGCGGGAACCGAAGGGTAAGCATTATTCATTACTAGCCCTCAGCAGCGCCAGCAGACAGGAAAAATGTTAAACGAGTGAATTTTAATACTGGGATAAGTGTAGAAATAAAACATGCATGCAAAAGGTCATCAGACTTCAGTCATTGGGGCAATACGTAAGAACAAAATGCTCAGCAGTGAGCAGGACATATTAGTCGAACTATGGTTTCCCTCTGGCTGTCTGGCTGGGGGAGGGGGGGAGGGAGGTTTATCATACAGTTCCTTCTGGAAGCTGGCAGCGGAAGCCCGGGGGAGGGGGAGGGGCCCCAGACAGGCGGCGCCGAGACACATCCGTCCGTTCGTCCGTCGGTGAATATCGGGCAATCACCCAGCACCCAGAACACTCCGGACAAGACGCCAGCCTTCAACAGAGCTGAGCTCAGTTCTTCAATCTAGAATACCTTAACCCTCGCCGGCCGAGGGGGGGGGGCGGGTGCCGCCCCCCCCCCATAGGGTTTTTTCGCGATAGCTTCGAACACGCTGGCGATAGAGAGCTGAAACTTGGCATACCTGACCTTTGATCCAAGCCGGATCTTTTGACACCAACCGCATTTTTGGGTCAGGTCAGGTCACTGACCTATGACGTCATAAGTGAACCTCTGCACGGTCTTCAGATGTCGCAACTTCACAACGCCCTCACTGCCAGAGGAGATGTCACAGGGAAATGAAACTTGCAGGATCTAGTATCCATTATGAGTCCCACAACTTGTATATCTCGGATTTTTCTTAAAGGTCATATGAGGTCAGGTCATTTTCGTGACCTCACCATTATAAGTCAATGGGGAAAAATGAAAACTGCTATTCTGGCGCCGGGAACGATCTCCAACTATCTCAAGCACACAGAATCGTGATTTGATGCACTTCTTGCAAGGTTGGATGCGTCATTTTTGCAATGTTGACCTTGCGTTACGTCATTTATGACGTCATCAAGGTCAAATTAGTTTTTCGTCAATAACTCTTGATCAAATTGAGCTAGCGAGTCGGGAAAGGCACCAATGGACTCAGGAAGGCCTGCCGAATCGAATGATATGCGACATGACCTCTTTCGACCAACTTCGTGACCTGGGGGTGCTGACCTGACCTTGACCTGAGGTCAACACCCCAAGTTGACCTGACCCGGACAAAAAGTATATCAATCGACGCGCCTGAGCGAGGCGAACACGATGCTGCCAAAATCGCGGCTCTGCGGCCGTTTTTTGCGAAGTTATTCACCAAAAACTGAACCGTACCCTGGGGCACTTGACCTGACCTCAGAGGTCACCGGTTGACCTTGGACCTTAAAATCGGGTACCAATCTCTGCGTCTCGTAACGGCGCACACGCTCGTTTTTTCCGCGACGCGCTAGCTCCACCAGGGGCGAAACGGCGAGGGGGGGGGGGTCGTACCCGCCCCCCCCCCCTCGGCCGGCGCGTATGTAGAAAACCAATAGGTCCGGCGAGGGTTAAAGTGCCCTGGGCCGGGAATATGTAGTGCTTGGTGTTGCGACTAGCCGACAATTTATCCGTGTTTTTATTTAGTGGTCCGTCATCTCAAGCCGGAGGTATTTCATCTGGAAAGCCGCGAGAAAATATGTGTTCAGCGATATTTAGTTGCAGTGAGAACGAGCGAATGTAAATCATGTAAAGGAAGAACGGCACTGATTTACCTGTTTGCATATACGTGAAATGCCATAGAATGAGTTAAGTGGTAAATGTGGCTTAATTTTTGCTCGGAACAGTTTAAAACCTATTCAATCATGTAAACTAAAGCTGCAATGATCATGTAGTCGCTGTTGAACCGGCTCTGATGCTTTGGTGTTGAATGGAGTTAATAGAAACCGTCATTTTAACCCACATTTTTTCCCGAATGTCGGAACACTTGGGACCCACCTACCCACCCGCATGAGTGTTGATGTCGTAACACAAATAAAGCAGTCACATCGGCCAGCAGCCCAGTGGCGAAGGTAAGCTAACGCCCATCACACAATGCCGTACCGCTACCGCACGGAGATGTTCGCTGATTCTTGTAGCCCGGTGGGTATTCATCCACCCGCCCCACCCTCACTCCTCAAAAAGGCACAGAGACGGTCGGTGATGATCTGTTTATTGTACCATGTAAAACTACTCACAGTTGAGAGGCCGCCGCCGCCTCATGCGCCCTGTGCGCGCACCTGGGCTAGACAGCGACCCGACGGCGGGTGTCTGGTCCTCACTGGTCACTGCGGTCACCGAGTCACTGCAGGTCACTGCAGACTATCACTGGTCACTGCGTGCCGGAGAGAGGACGGCGCCGGACGGCGGACGGCGGTGTAACGCGGTCCCGACGACAAATGAGTGCGATGAGAGGAGAAGGAACGTCATGTATCTACAGGAAGTAGTCAGGCTGAGGCGTCTTGGACGGCACGCCGCGGCTTTCCTTTGGTGCTGCCTCGAATATTGTGAAGTTTCGTCGCAGATGCTCGTCCAGCTCGAGAATGGCGGCGACGTTTCCACACCTGGCGGTCACAGGCGGAACTACAGGTTCACACGATGGACACATGTAGCAGCGTTCTCAAATGTGCCCCAACAACTGAGCAGCCAAATCATCAAAGGCCGAATTTGACCGTCGTAGCAACTACCCCAAAGAGTCTCAGAACCATGAATGAATATGTGAAAATGCGACAGATTAGCAATGCTAGCCAACGCAGAATAATGAAAGATGAAAGTCGATAATCGTCAACGCATATTACGAAAGAAGCAGCACAGTATTGGGATTCAGGTTCTCCACAGTCACTAGTAGGTACACTCGGGGGCAGATTGATGTTCCACCACTCCCTACCCATCGGGCTCCCATGGCTCAGCACTGGCTGCTGCCAGTGTTGCCTGCCCTCAGCACTGCAGTGCTCAGCACTGCCTGCCAGTGCCAGTGCTGCCAGTGCTGCCACTGGCAGCAGCCAGTCCTGAGCCATGGGAGCCCGATGGGTAGGGAGTGGTGGAACACCAATCTGCCCCCGAGTGTACCATCAATGACGCAAGTCACGCCAAGTCATCAAACAATGTGGTACATCAGCAGTCAGCACCTACCTACGTAAGCTCAAAACCACCAACACAACCTGCTCAAACCAGGAACAGTGCTCAAACTCACCATTTTCCGACCAGTCACGTAAACACTTAAACCTCGCCCTGGCAGGGGGAGGGGGGTTGATGCAACCCCGTAAGGTTTTTAAAGATTGCCTAAAAATGGCGGCCGCCAAATTTGGTACAGCCTATGGGGCAACCTTTTTACATATGACCTGAAAATTTCAGGTCCGGGTGACCTTGGGTCAGGTCACCAGGTCAGAAAAACCGGTACAAGGTCATGGTCAAATTTGAATTTTCTTTACGCACCTGTCCAACCCACAGTTTTGGACTGATTTCCTTCAAACTTCCAGGATGTGCTAAGTTCACCGAGTTGAATAACATATAGTTCGGGTTTTTTTATGTCAGGTCAGTGAGAGCCTAGAGGTCATTACGTCGTAATTACGGAGCGAGCGAAGCGAGCGGAGTCTTACGTAGAATAACGGAAATTTCTGAGTATGAGCGGCCGGCCGGCCGGCCGCGGTCACGATTCTGCGACGCTTATATCTCAGCAACCACTTGACCGATTTACATGCGGTAATTTTTGTAGGGTAGGTTCATTCCTTCTACCAAGTATTGGACGATTCTCGATGCATGTGGGCGACCCCTTATGCACAACGAAGAGGTGTCACTTTTGTAATAGTTGCAATATCTCGGTAACTACTGGGCCGATTGCGCTGAAAGTTGGCACGTAGGTAGGCACCCACTAGGCAATGAATATCCATGTGCCAGAGTTGGGATGCTGCTGCACGTGTGCACGTGCAGGGGTCGTTTCCAGATCTCGAGAACGGCTGGACCGATTGCGCTCAAATTTGGTACACGGTTAGGGGTCAGTTAGTAGGGTGCCGTGCACAAGTCAGTTGGGACCCATTTTGCACGTGCGCACGTGCAGGGTGCCGCTTGCAGATCTCGAGAACGGCTGGGCCGATTGTGCTCAAATTTGGCACATCGCTAGAGACCGGTTAGTAGGGTGCCGTGCACAAGTCAGCTGGAGGTACCCCCTCGAAATTTCGCACGTGCAAGGCCCACCCTCTCGCTCGCTCCGTTAGTCGCCCCAAAAGGCGTTATACTGGTGTTAAGCCTGTGGGAAAATACTAAATTCGGAAAATACTGGAGATATCCGCTTCGTTCTATCACGTTTGTGCTTTGAAACCACAGTACTTAACAGCAGGCCACTTGGTGCTTCTTTGTTTGATGTACTTATCCATGGGTCAGGTCAATTGAGATCAACTGAGGTCAAATGACGTTTTTGCCAATAACTTGGCACATGATGACGCTAGAGCTTAAAAATGGTGTCATTTTGTTCCTGGTGATCAGCCGAATCGAATGATATGCGATATGATGCAATTTGGTTTATTTGAACTTAATTTATTAATTAAAGTTTACTTAATAATTAAGAAAAGCTTTAAGTACACTTAAGCAAGCAATTAAGTATGTCATTCAATGCGCCTTGACGTGCTGAGTTCACTGGTGCTTTTCTTTTTGCTCTATCTTAATTAGATCAAAAGTTATAAGCGAAAAACTTTTGACCTGTTTTTAGCGAAATTTTTACATTAAAAAACTTAAATATTGACCTAGAGCAACCAAATTTACATAGCGGCGAGAACTCCAGAGGACCGACCTACCTACCAAATTTGGTGTTTCTAGGTGCCATAGGAGCCAATCGCGAGGGGGGTCGCATCAACCCCCTGCCAGGCCGTGTTATGAAAAATGCCCTGCCAGGGCGAGGGTTAAACACCCACCACCCGCCACACACAAACCCCAGCCCGTTCACCTCAATCTCAGCCAGCGGGCCGAGGAGCCCCAGCCGCGTCCTTCCCTCCGCGTCGCCCACTCACCGATAGCAGTAGTTGGGAGCTGACCACACAGTGAGCACAGTGTCGTCAAAGTGCCACTTGTAGCCCTCCATAACCAGCTGATGTGCCCGGCATATCATGTCCACGTTGTTGTTACGGTTGAACTGCTGCACAACGTCCGACCCAAACAGGTAGCCGGCGCCGCGCGGACTCACCCCCCAGCCCTGTGGGTCACAGAGGTCAGAGGAGGTCACAGACAGGTAGCCGGCGCCGCGCGGACTCGCCCCCCAGCCCTGAGGGTCACAGAGGTCAGAGGAGGTCACAGACAGGTAGCCGGCGCCGCGCGGACTCACCCCCCAGCCCTGCGGGTCAGGTCAGAGGAGGTCACAGACAGATAGCCGGCGCTGCGCGGACTCACCCCCCCCCCCCCTAGCCCTGAGGTTAAACGAGAGAGGTCTGAGGTCAAATACCAACCAGGTAGTCGGTCAGCGTTGCACGGACTCAGTCTTGGCCCACAGAGGTCAAAGGTCACACATGGCATAAGGGCCGACAGGTAGTCTACGCTACGTGGATCCACCCCTCAGCACTTTGGTAGCAGAGGTCACAGCGAGGTCATATCATAGATGTCACCTGAACAAGATGGGTATCGGGCGCAACGCAGGCTGATCCCCCAAGGCTACGGGTCACATAGAAGTCAGAAAGTATATCAATATTAGGATTCAGCACCCAACGTCGTCGTAAGTCACGTCACCCTCCTAGCGGCGTACAGGCAGCGAAAGTCACATAAGTCTCGAATCAGTCGCTCAAACGGTCAGGAAGGTCGAGGAGAATGGTCGAGGAAATGGTCGAGGGGAACAGTCGTGAGGAACGGTCAAGGGGAAATGAATCGTTCGAGGGTTGAGGAGAGACGATCATGAGGAAGGCCGGGGGAGAGACGGTAACTGGACAGCGCTGCGATTAAAACGAGGCCCACCCGCGAGTAGGATGAGAATTAGAGATTCAGGTGACCAGTCCCTCAATACGGACATAATACCCATGTAAATACAGCATGATCGGCGCGCGAAGAAATTCATTTTCCCGTAATATCGTACAAGCACAATTACTATGTGTAGTCACAAACCACAAACAAATGTTCTGCTGCATACCATACCGCGTCAAATCCCCGTCCAGTGAGTCAGTTTCGGACGGCAGTGACAGTGTCATTATCAATGTCAGTGTCAGTGTCACTAACGGTGTCGTGCATGCCTGACCTGCATATCGTCCGGATCGGACCAGAGCAGGTCACACATGGGGCCGTCGTGTGGCACCTCCTGTTTTCGGTCGATGGTGCGGATCTGGTCCAGCGTGTTTATCGTGGGCGACAGACCGCCGTGCACGCAGAAAATCTGCAGAATAAACGGTCATAAAGTCAGCAGGGCACGCACAAATCACAATATATGCCGAATAAGGGCACAAAGTCGGTCAGGGCACGCAGAATATCTTGATGGTGTCTGACAGTCCTCTTATAGTGCCTGACATTTGAAAGCGTCTCATAAACATACATAGTGCTTGCATTTCATATACTCTTTGAAACATGAGCCACGATTACACTGGTCTGCGTGATTTATAAGGTCAATGGTTTCTGAACCGTTTATAGGTCAGTTTTTCACGCTGATTCCGGAAATGGAATCCGCTTTGCTCGATTAGCTCGATCTTTTAAGATACGTTGTTTTGCCCATATGAACAAAGCCATGCTGATTGGCTTAGTATAGTTAATCCCACGGAAGCATATATATGTTTTAAACTACAAATTGACCCACTATAAGTGAATTCCGATCACAGTACACACGCAACGCTGCGACACAAATGGCCTTTTCACGGATTTCCGACTGTGTTGAGCACATGGGACGTCCCTTCTTCAAGCAGCAACAATAGTCCGCCAGGAAGTTGACGTCCCACCGACCCTCGTACCGTTTTTCATCACACGTATGTCTTTATGGAAACATTCTACCTGCTCTTCAGTATAATCACCAGTTTTCTGGGAAATAATCGAGATGGGACCTAAACAAGTGCAAAATGTATCCGTATGCCCACTCCAATGTGCATATTAATGCATCGGTCTGTATCCTTGACATAGTGTGGAAACTCGAGCTTATCGAGAAAAATTGGATACCTTTTCCGATTTCGGCACACAAAACTTGCATTAGAACAGTTGAGAAATTTTCAATCTTGGGGAAAATGTATCAGTATGCCCACTCAAATATGCATATTAATACATCAGTGTGTGGGCTGTTATACTTGACATAGTGTGAAAACTGGAGCTAATGGAGAAAAATGGATAGCTTTTTTGGATTCAGCACACGAAGCTTGTATTATAGAACAGCTGAGAAATCTCCAACTGTGGGGAACAATGCATCAGTATGCCCACTCCAGGATGCATATTAATACATCAGTGTGTGAGCTTTTATCATTGACATAGTGTAAAAACTCGAGCTAATCGAGAAAAATGGATAGCTTTTTTGAATTCAGCACACGAAACTTGTGTTAGAACAGCTGAGAAATATCCAACCTTGGGGAAAAATACATCAGCATGCCCACTCCAATATGCATATTAATGCATCAGTGTGTGAACTTTTATCCTTGACATAGTTTGAAAACTCGAGCTAATCGAAAAAAAATGGGCGGCTTTTTCGGATTCAGCACACAAAACTTGTATAAAAACAGCTGAGAAACCTCCGACCTTTTGAAAAAAGTTTTGAAACGCAGGCCAGTGTTAGCGGAAACATCGCCGACAATCCGACCAAACATTGGATATTACTCCAGCTTCAGCACTCTGCAGTCCCAAAAAAAGCTAGCTGAGCGGTATCTACCTTTCCGTCGATGATGGCCGAGAGGCTGAGGAAGTCGAAGATCTCTGTGCAGTAGCGCCAGACGGTGACGCTGCCGTATTTGCGCATACACTCCTCGTAGAAGCCGTACACCTGGGTGATCTGACGCGACTCGTGGTTTCCGCGGATCAGCGTGATCCGGTCCGGATAACGGACCTGGAAACGGGGGGGGGGGGGGGACGTGATCGGCAGCTGAGGCTTATCTGGTGAGTCTCACTTTTCTGGTGAGCTGGTGAAATTTCACTTTTACGTACACAATCGTGTTTGAGGGGAAATTCAACATGCTCCAATTAGGTACCAGCTGCCGTCGAATTTTCTTGAGGAGACCTAATCCTGTCATGAACAATATCAATATGTCAATTGCCATAAATAATTTGTGTTTGCAGAAGACATGACAAATCAAGTGACAAATTACGTCCACGGTTATTTCTCATAGAAAAATCAAAACCGAAAAAATCATGTCAGGGCACCTGCAGGCAATAAAACGTGTAATGAAATGCAAGGCATGGATTCTACCCAGTCTAAAATACCTCTTAGCACCCAAAATACATGAACCCGTCTCAATACCAGTTCCTATGCAGGTCTTACCTTCAGTGCCAGCAGAAGGAGGAATGTTTCGACGCTGTAGAAGCCCCGGTCGACAAAGTCGCCCATGAACAGATAGTTGGTGTCGGGCACATCACCTCCCACCTTGAAGAGCTCCTTCAGATCGTAGAACTGGCCGTGAATGTCGCCACACACCTGTAAACCAACAGTTCGAGTGTCTCAACTGGTTGACAAACACACTGGCCTCTGATGTACTGCTAAAGCACTACTAGCATGCATTGGTATTCAGTTACATTTTTACTGCAACCAAAATAAAAATAAAATGAGCAGTAATGTGATAAAAAATCGAAGATGTTACAGTAATCACAAACTAGGAAAAAAAAACAGTAAAAACATAATTTTCAGCAAATGAACTTATACTCACAGTAACAGGGGAGTCGACTCTTTGGACATTGCTTTCTTCAACTAGAATTTCCCTGGCTTTGGCACATAGTGCTTTGACCTCTGACTCTTTGATAATCTCACATCTGCGCAGCTGTTCAATCTGCCTGTCCAGATCACTTGTGTCACACATTCTGCCTCCTGAAAACACAAGAGCACAGTCTTATAATGAACATATATTATATAACATGACCAGCAATGATATATGTACAAATAAGTGAATATCTATGATCTCACTGGATCTCAGGCAAAAAATGAGACTCGGATCTGTGATCCCTACGCATCTCTCGATATATCGACACCTTTTTTTAAACCCCACATCTGCTCTCCCGTGAATTTCCGGGAGGCACGAAAGATCTCCCTTTAAAAGTGTCCAATCGTCCGATCCTGATCAAATATGTGTGTTCGTAGGCCTGTTCTGGTATTGCTTTATCTGCTAAGACAGACAAACTTGAGAAAAATCGGGTGATTGTACCTTTTTTGAAGGTCTCTAACCAACTTGTCTGAAATTCACCGGAGAACAAATGTGGGGTTTAAAAAAAAGGTGTCGATATATGGGAGCTGGATCTATGATCCCGTCGGATCCGAGAACAGGATCCGTGGGATCAGATCCCAGCTCCATTTTCTCGGATCCACGCAAGTGACGCACATGTCTGCTAATAACAACTATACAATGTAGCGATGTTTGCTGCACATTTCTGTGCTGTAAAAGTGTAAAGTCAATATCGATCAATTCTAGCCACTTTCCAGCCCCCTTCCCACTTTGGATGTCATATTGCCTATTTTCAGCAGCCTTCTGAGTGAACGTAGGTATGTGATGTAACCTTGCATTTGCAATGTGGTTAATTAGCCTCAAAATGCTACTCAATGCTTAAGGACATCATTTGGAATGGTTTCCAAACTAGTGATGTCAATTTCAGAAAGCATATGTCCAATGTCTGTCCAATGTCCAATACTTATGTCGACCGTCCGTCCAAAAATGTCCAAGCCAGCCATTTGTCCAAAGATGTCCGACATCTACGCAATAGTTTACACTCAATACCGTTATTTAATTTGCTTTTAATGTATCGTTACCAGCTCAAAAGTGGTAACCAGTATAACGCCTTTTGGGGCGACTAACGGAGCGAGCGAGAGGGTGGGCCTTGCACGTGCGAAATTCGAGGGGGTACCTCCAACTGACTTGTGCACGGCACCCTACTAACTGGTCTCTAGCGATGTGCCAAATTTGGGCACAATCGGCCCAGCCGTTCTCGAGATCTGGAAGCGGCACCCTGCACGTGCGCACGTGCAAAATGGGTCCCAACTGACTTGTGCACGGCACCCTACTAACCGGTCCCTAACCGTGTACCAAATTTGAGCGCAATCGGTCCAGCCGTTTCCGAGATCTGGAAACGACCCCTGCACGTGCGCACGTGCAGCAGCACCCTAACTCTGGCACATGTGTATGCAGTGCCTAGTGGGTGCCTACCTACATGCCAACTTTCAGCGCAATCGGCCAAGTAGTTACCGAGATATTGCAACAATTACAAAACTGACACCTCTTCGTTTTGCACGTGGCACGTGCATAAGGGGTCACCCACATGCATCGGGAATAGTCCAATACTTGGTAGAAGGAATGAAGCTACCCTACAAAAATTACCGCGTGTAAATCGGTCAAGTGGTTGCTGAGATATAAGCCTCGCAAAAGCGTGACCACGGCCGGCCGGCCGGCCGGCCGGCCGCTCATACTCAGAAATTTCTGTTAATCTAAGGAAAGACTACGCTCGCTTCGCTCGCTCCGTAATCATATCGAAAGCTGAGCTTTCTTATAGCCAATCAATGTTAAACACGATTACTTTATAAAAATGTTGAGGTGTAGCAAGCGATTGTCCAAAGTTGTCCAAAGCCTGCTGTCATTGTCCAACCAAATTCCGAATTGGATGTTGGACAAAGTCGGAATTCCGAAGATTCAAGTTCCAATTGACACCACTATTCCAAACATTCCACAAGGATGCATTAAATAAACCTTAAAAAACTTAAGAAAAGAAAATATATACCTGTATAGTTAAGTGTATAGCCATGTCTCAAGAGTGTCAAAACTCTTTTCTCAGTTAAGGTAAAATAAAACATAATCTAACCACTGACTCAGAGTCGGGCTAGGCTGGTTCTTGGTACCTAACCTTGGTTGACTTTTTTATTTGTAATACTTTATTGAGAAGTTTTCGGAGCCGATAACGAATGTAGCATTCATTTGAGGATTTGGGAAGTACTTTTAGAGAAGAGACTACATAAAATGTGACAGAGGCATCATTGGTGGTAGCTACCTACTGGCCAAGAACGACTGGTGGGACAAATGCTGGTTGACCTGAATGGATCCGCACCCAACCTACCTCAAATGCACACATGCATTGTCAAACAAAACTAGCGTGAGAATCAGCACCCCTAAATATCCTAGCGAAGACTCATCTGCTTCTCTTCCACAAAATCTAGCAGGTCCTGGTTTTCATGACAAATAAGTCATTGACCTGACCCGGAAGGTCAGCCAATGATCTAAAATATCGAAATCGGTGAGCATTTGCCTCCTCGTCACGAGACACGAGCAATACCCGAGCAATACCCTCTTTTTTCCGCGAGGCTCTATCTCGATCAAGAGTCGAGCGGTCCAGATTGGGAGAGGGACCGATCGAACCCAGGGCCAATATATTCGGTCGCAGTTTTTTATCAGCAGGCTGCGAGCATGCTGCTATTTCTTGGCTACTCATTGGTCAAATTCACGTGGTCTCTTCATTTGACCAATGAAAGGCCAAGAAGTGCCAGCAATAACCTCCTTATATGGGAAAAACCGACAGCATGCTGATAAAAAACAGCGACCGAACTGAGCTCATGTCTGCAGTCTGATGGAGCTTACTCAGCCCATCTCTTGTATATGTCAGCCACAGTGAAAATGCCTGAATTTATGGCAATGACCGCACTAGTGATCTGTCACACTCGCACACTTAAGCACAATGAACAGTGCTAAGTGCTCTCATAAATGTGCAGTAGTTGCACAGTCGTCCGTCCGCGCATTTCGTGTTTGTTTCATTAGCAAGCTACGAGAGAAAACTCTAGAGGCATGTAGGCCATGTAGCATAGAGCCTGTGTACTGTCCGACCGCACACAGCGCCAATGAACACCCCTCAGGTGATATCTAAAAACAGGGCACCAGAGGGCATACATATCACGTGGTTACTGTGAAATCTCATTATTGGTAAAGCTAGTGTCACCGTCGGCGGTAGGTAGGTAGCAGTAGGTAGGTAGTTTGGGTTGCAGGTTGGTAGGCTATGGGTTGGTAGGTTTTAGGTGTGTAGGTTGGTGGTTGTAGGTTAGTAGGTAAGGTTAGGTCAGGTTAGATTGTTTTTCAGTTTTACTCTAACTTCATCTACACATTTACCAGTTGGGTAGCGGCGGCAATGACGCAAGGTTTACCGACGCCAAAATCTCTATATTTTAATGCCTTGAAGATAAGGGTTGCCACGTGACAATTTCAAAAGCCTTGATCAAGTCGCCCCAGGCGCCCTGTTTTCATATTCCACCGGCAGCCATTAGGCAAGCCGCTAGCCGGTAAAAGTATACATTAGGTCCGAGTGCCTGTTAAAAGATAAAGTTTTCACATTCTTACATTATTTGACATCCTGAATCCAAAAATGATGTACTGGAAACGTGGAAAAAACACCAAATCACAACCCATTTCACTACAATACCACCCGGCGGCATTAACACGCGACGAATGAAAAACGTGGGCGCTGTAGCGCTGCCATATGTGGATTGCTGCCATTTCAGTGGAAATTTTAGGAACAGGGGTTTTGGGTGGGGAAAAAGAAAACGATACGAATGGTGTGATGAAAGTGACGTCATAATTACAAAAAGGAACCTAACCTAACCTAACCTAACCTAACCTAACCTAACCTACTGATGTTTGCCTACCGGGGATAGGGAAAAAGTTACTTGCAGGAATAGATTGCAGGCAAGAGTAAATCAAATATTTTTAGGTTAAGTGGTTATGTATCTGGCTTCAGGCCGAAGGTGGTCATGCATCAGGCTTCAGGCCTTCGGCCTGAAGCCAGATACATAACCACTTAACCTAAAAATATTTGATTTACTCTTGCCTGTAATCTCTCCTAAGGCATTGCCTTCGGCACTGCGCTGCTTCGCCGCGAGAAGAATTATGACGTCATTATTCACAGTTGAATAGCAACTGTTAGATATCATCCTTGATTTACTTGACCTTGGCCAGCTTTGCGCAAGTAATTGCCGCCCGGCACATTGCGCTAGTGTGGAGTTGGTGTGGAGTGCGGTAGCGATTTGCGGTAACTGTAAGTATTTTATAGGCATGGGTGTAACTTTGTATACTTTCGAGGTCCCATGTGGGACCCCAATGCGAACATTTGGGACCCCAATTGTCATTTTGGGACCCCAATAGTGGAGGCCCCCGAGACGCACCAGCTACTTTGCAAACGGAGGTCCGATGTTCATATAAAAGGTTCTCTGTTTAAATAGGAGGCCCCTTGGACAAATCGGAGGCCCTGTTGGACAAATAGGAGGCCCCCTGAACAAGTAGGAGACCCCCTGAACAAGTAGGAGGCCTCCGGAAAACAGGAGGCCCCCTGGAGAAATAGGAGGCTCTCTGGACAAGCAGGAGGCCTCCTGGACAAATAGGAGGCCCCCTGCAAAATAGGAGGCCCCCTGGACAAATAGGAGGTCCTAGACCTAGACAAACAGGAGGCCCCTTTCACAAAAGGAGGCCCCCTGGACAAATAGGAGGCCCCATGGACAAGTAGGAGGCCCTCTGTACAAATAGGAGGCCCCCTGCAAAAATAGGAGGCCCCCTGGACAAATAGAAGGTCCTAGACCTAGACAAACAGGAGGCCCCTTTCACAAAAGGAGGCCCCCTGGACAAATAGGAGGCCCCTTTCACAAAAGGAGGCCCCCTGAACAAGAAGGAGGCCCCCTGGATAAAGAGGAGGCCCCCTAAAAATAGGAGCCCTCTGGATAAATAGGAGGCCGCTTGGAAAATAAGAGGCTACTTTAACCAATAGGAGGCCCCCTGGACAAATAGGAGGCCCCCTGAACACGTAGGAGGCACGCTGGACAAATAGGAGGCCTCTTGGGCAAAGAGGCCCCCT